AGGCTCCAGAAAATAGGAAATCTGTTTTGTTCACAATAGAATCTTAAGCCCTCAAACAACGACTGGAACAGGACTGATATCCAACTAGAATGTAGGGGTTTTATTTATATTTGCCATCATCATCATTATTGGAAGGGTGATTGACAGCATGTGTGTGAGGGTCAGTGAATAACTTCCAGGCATCAATTCTCTCCTTCCACTGTGGGTTCTGGGTATAGAACTTGTGTCATCAGGCTTATGTGTCAAGCACTTTTATAAACTTTTACTTTCTGTACATCTCACTGACCCTGTATTTATAATGTTTTAATTTATTCCTTTTTTTTTTTGAGGCAGGGTTTTATGTAACCTAGGTTGGTCTCTGGCCTCCAAGTTCCAGTAAGCCAAGGATGACCTTGACCTTGATCCTCCTGCCTCCAACTCCCAAGTGCTGGGATTACAGGAATTGCCATCATTCTAGGTTTATGTGGTTCTGGGAATGGAACCCAGGGATTTGGGAATGGTGGCACACTTAAGCACTCTACTAAGTTACATTCTCAGCTACCAAATAAATACCTTAATTTTACATGCGAAGAAAATAATACCACTCTCAATTCTCAAACCTCTGGTCTAAGACTGAGTTTGAGGCTAGAGACCAGCTTGTGATACATAAAACCCTATCTGTAAAACAAAAATAAAACAAAACAAAAACCAAAGGGCCCAGTGAGGTGTCTCATCAGATTGATGGCCTGAGTTGTTCAACACCTTAGGCTCATAAGGTGGAAGAAGAGAACCAACTCCTGAAAACTGTCTGACTTCCACATACAGATGGTGGTAAGTACACAGACACACACACACCAAGAACTTTTTTTTTAAAAAGTCCTATCTGTCCACCTCAGACTATCAGGAGTTCTCATACTGCTAGCTTAGTAAAACTGCTTTACCAAGAGACCATCACTGCCAGGAATAGTGGTTCACTCCTGTAATTCTGCCTTGCTTCCTAAATATCTGGGATCATAGGCCTACAACACCACAACTGGCTTAAAGAAGGTTTTAATATTCCTTCACACTTCTACTGAGGTTCTTGGGTAATTAGCAATACCTTTAGATGGGTCCCAAAAATCTGAGGTCTTTGACAGCCAGTGCAACCAGAACTTTTCCACAGCACCATACCATCCATTACCTCAGCCCTGCTATTTCTATCTAACTTTCTAGTTAAACCCTGAACTCCAACTCTGTCTCATACATGTTTAAAGCAAGTGAAATGCACATATTTTACTAGTTTTTTGCTCTAGGACTCAGGTGGTAAGTGACCATGAACATGCACACTAGCAGGCCTCTCAAACCACAGAGCCCTGAGATCACAGTGAGAACAGGGGTAGCCCAGGCAAGGCAGAAGCCATGCTGAAAAAGAGCATCTCACACCACGGGTGCACCAAAAGCGGGTGACAGCATTTGTGTTATTTTAGAACAGTTTGTGCTGATGAGATTTTTGTTGTGGTAACATTCCTCTAAAGAGAACATTTTCTTCTTCCTTCCCTCTTTGACAAAGCAAGTCAACAGAACACACAAAAAAAGGAGGAGCATTGACAAAGATATCCAGAAATTTGTGGATTTCATATCTGTAAATAGATTCTATCACCTTTTCATTCTTTTTGCAAGACAGGATTTCACTGGTTGGACTCCTGCTTCTGCCTCACTTTTTAAAAAAAGATTTATGTGTATGAATATTTTGGATGCATCTGCCTGTGGCAGTCAGGAAGGTGTTGGATCCCCTAGAACTGGAGTTACAGTTGTAAGCCCCCATGTGCATACTTGGAACCAAACTCTGGTCCTCAATAAGAGCAACAAATGCCCTTAACCTCTAGCCCCTATATATCACTTTCTCAGTTGCTGAGCTATCCATTCTCCAGTCTTCAGATAATGATAGGGAAATGATTAGGACATGAGGCCTAGAGAGACCTCATTTCTACCAAGAACATGGCTGGGGTTTTATTTTTTGTTTTAGTTTTTGTCTCTGAAGGCCAGTAATATTTCTAGATAAGACTAAAAATTTATATAGCTTGACCATAGGTATTGGTCCTGTTTAGCTTATAATTGACAGGTTAAATTAATACAGTATTTCAGCTTGGTTATCTGGGCCCCATTTTCCTTACCAAGTTTTAGTTCAGTGGTTTTCTACCAGTTTCTTTGTCTAACCAAACCAATCCACTGTGCTTCCCCCTCCCCCCCCACACACCCCAGACAGCATTTCTCTGTGTCTTTGGAGGCTGTCCTGGAACTAGCTCTTGTAGACCAGGCTGGTCTTGAACTCACAGAGATCCGCCTGCCTCTGCCTCCTGAGGGCTGGGATTAAAGGCGTGTGCCACCACCACCCGGCTTCCACTGTGCTTCTTACTACATCTATATCTTTCTCAATCTGATTCTCCACACTCAGGGAACCCTACCACTTCCATTTTGTTTAAATTCCACCTTTCCTCCTTCTTGAATTACTTAGGCATTGTTGATCTGTACAGAAGAACCAATCCCTCTACCAACCAATTAGTAGAATGGTACTTCCCACTTGCCCTGTCTTCAATGACAAGAGATTCAATAGTTAACAAGGCAGTATCAGCCAGGTAGTGGTGGTGCACATCTTTAATCCCAGCATTTGGGAGGCAGAGGCAGATGGATCTCAGGGGGTTTAAGGCCAGCCTGGTCTACAAAGCAAGAAACCCTGTCTCAAAAAAAAAAAAAAAAAAAAAGAAAGAAAGAAAGAAAGGAAAGAAAAAACCTCCACCACAACAAAACACTGCAGTCTCTTCTATAACAAAATTCTTTATTTCAGGATAATATATACCTGCTTTTAATTTCCCTACATTGGTCTTGCCCTGTCCTTAGGATAAAGAAAACAATACATTATGTAAGAAAAGGGGCTTTGGGGCTGGAGGGATGGCTCAGAGGTTAAAAGCACTGACTGCTCTTCCAGAGGTCCTGAGTTCAATTCCCAGGAACCACATGGTGGCTCACAACCATCCATTATGAGATCTGGTGCCCTCTTCTGGTGTGCAGATATACATTGAAGCAGAATGTTGTATACATAATAAATAAATAAAATCTTTAGAAAAAAAAAGAAAGAACAGGGGTTTTGAAATCAGATACAAGCTCAAATCTAGCATGTGTCTTAAGCAAAATGTTTAAATTTTCTAGCATCACAGTCCACTTCCCCAAGGCTATTAAAAAAAGTAAATGAGTAACTATGCAAAGAGTGTAATGTTGTCTGACATGGAGAAAGACCTCAATTGATGACAGCTAGTGCCATAGTTTTCATTATCATTTGCTTTAGGGAAGGCTTAATATAACCTAAGCTAGACTGGACTTGAACTCTTGATCCTCTTGCCTCTACATCCAAACTGCTGGGATCATATGAAATTGCCACAATACTTAATTGATCTGTCATTTTCAAAATCTGATTTCTCAACTCCTTATGTATTTGAAGTCAAAAATATTACTTCCATGCCAGGATTTTGATATGATATGCACTCTAAAGATCACATGTTGAAGGCTTGGTCCCAATTGGCCAATCTCATTATTGAGAAATGATTAGATCACAAAGGCTCTGACCTATCAATTGATTGAAACTCTGATGGATTAGTAATATGATAGTATTATTAAGAGGTGAGGCCTAGCTGTAGGAAATACACTGGTGTATGTGGGTATGTCCTAGGAAGGTATATCTTGCTCTAAGACCCTTCTGTTCTTTCTGCTTTCTAGTTGCCATGATGTGAGGATCTCTGCTCTACCACATGCTCCTTGAAATGCTTAGTCTGCTTAACTACAAGATCAGAAACAATGGAACTGGCCATGCACTAAAAGTTCTGAAACAGTGAGCTATAATAAGTTTTTCAAAGATATTTTGTCACAAGAGCCAGAAACTAAAGTCTTTTCTTCACAAGACTCCAGGTTCTTCACAATCCTGTACATTATGTGAGAAAAGAAAGTATCTTTAGGAAGAAAAGGAAGGATGCAGAGGTCATGAGGGAGCAGAAAGGTTGAGTCAGGTATAGATTAGAAGAAAGGATATGCTATAGGTAGGGTTTTAGTTGGGGGGTGGTAGGGGAGGAGGAGAAGGAGAAGGAGAAGGGAACTGGGATTGTCATGCAATTCAATCGTGTTTGTAACTCAAATAAAAAAAAAAAAAAAGAAAGTATCTTTAATCTGTCTTGTTTACTGTCCGGTCTCCATGCCTAGCACAGTGAAAGGCACAAACATAATAGACATTTAATATCAATGAGCTGTGTTGATGCTCTTGGTTGAAGTTTACTGTCTTCATCATTCACATCACTCCTCTCTGTATAGTGTCTTGCTGTACTAAAGTCTTCTGATGATGTATCATCCAAAATTGGACACAAACTCGAAGATGAACTTTTACAAGAAGAGACTATGTTTCTCTTTCATAATGTACACTATATCCTATTGAATATTTAGCATGGCCAGGTAGCTTCAACAAACTGTTGGTTTATGTTGATCTTGAAATTAAGAAACTTTTAAATCTTTCCTACATGTTGACCTTGTACACAGGGCTCTGTAGATCTGGAGCTATAATAATGCCAAAAGGTACAACAGCAAGACAGCTCTTTTCTCCTTAAAGTTAGACTTACCATGCTAAGATTTGCTTCTTCCTCTCATATAAGAGTATAAAATCCCAGAAGGTGGGATCTGACTATTTTTGCTTTTTCTTTACACACCAAAGAAGGCTGAATATAGATTAATACTCTCTTTCCACAGCAAGGTCACACTGAAGATCAGGGAAACTATAAGACCATCTGAGGAATCCCCCACTCAAATAGTTAAGTCAGTGTTAAGCTTTTCACCAATCAGCAAACAGAGAAAGCGGCTCTGCTGGTAGCATCTTGCCTGATGGAAATAAAGTCCTAGGAGGCCACAAGGAGAAATCAATCATCTCTCCACACATATTAGTCTAGGCAGCTTGCAGGGATCATTTCACACACAGAGAGAAGAGCCATAAAAGGTAAGAAGTTTACCTCATCACTTTCTTCCACATCCACATCACCGTTGGCATCATCATCCATCAGCTTGTGAATATTGCGGACAGCCTCGAAGCTGAGCTTCTCATCCTCACTGTGGCACAGGGGCTTGTCAATCCGGCAAAACTCTGTATGGATAAAGCAAGGGACAACATTACTCAGAGCTCTCACTCAGTCTCTACCATCCTCTTATGTCAGCAATCTTAGCTCTCATACAAGCATTTTAATCAACCACAAATACATGGTGGAAGTATATCATCTAATCTTTACCCTACATCTCTTAGAAAATGTGATGAGCTTGCCCATACAGAAACAATGCTTTATCATTCTCATAGCTCTCAAGCAGACAAGTCTAGTATAGGACTAGGCCTACTCTAGGGCACAGACAAGAACACGAAGAGCTCACAAATAAGAGGAGAAAACCAAAGGGACAACATATACAGAACAAAGCTTGGACTCACTAATAATCAAGGAAATAAATTATTTTAAAGATAATTTCATTAGTCAAACAAAAATAAATTAATATAATTTTCTAGCACTAGAACAACAGTTCCAACATCTGAATAAATGGTATAGCTTTTCTTTTTATTTACTTTGTCACTAGAAATACATATAATACCAACCACAGGCTAACCAGGGAAACTTCCCAATAGAGGTAGGTGACCTTTATTGTCCTTCTTGTCCTCTATTCCAGTCTCCAGATTTAGTACTGCAGCAGCCCACCTACAGGAGCCTCTCCTCCAGTCCTCCTCCATCCTTTAGGGACTCAGCCTCTCACTTTGTCACTACAGGTACATATAGTGCTTACATAAATATTATACATCTCTAGTAGACTTTTAAAAAATAATGGAAATAGTTTATCAAGCTCTAGTGACCAAAGGTCTCCAGCTGAGCATCAGTTTCCTGAGGTCAGCCAGCATCTTTTCCAAATGTCTATGGCAAATGCAAGAAGTTTGTATTTCTAACAGCAGGTTCCGATGTGTAACCTGATCAAACAGACAGGTGACCTTGCTGCTGGCATCATCTGGCACAGATGATTAAAGGGATGAGGCTAAGAGAGGACAAAAGTTTGATGCCCCACATGACGTCAGAATTGAACCCAGAAAAACCATGTCAGCCAAAATTTACAAATAACTCCTTCATCCAAGCATTTCCTAAGCTGTCTCCTGTCCTTCATCAAACCTTTTCTACATCTCCCACACAGGCAGTTTCCCACAGACACCTGGAATACCTTAGGAGATCCACTCACTTAGCAACACCTTTTTATTGCAATGAAAACACCCTGAACTTAGAGTCAAAAACACATACACCAAAATCCTATCTTTAATCAATTATAAACTATGTGACATTGGACAAGTGGTAAAACTCCGTCAAGCCTCCATTTCTCATCTGTGAAATGAAGCAAAAATCCACCACATGCTATTTTTGTGAGAATTACACTGAACTGTATATATTAAAGCACCTCTCAGGCTGGGTATGATAGTACCCAGGCAGAATATCAGAACTTGGGAGGCAGAACCAAGAGGGTTGGGAATCTTAACTACATAGGGAAACCAAAGCCAGACTGGATGACATGAGATCCTGTCTTTACTTTTAATTTTTTTTATTTCAAAGTAAGTAATAAGCCTGATATTCAATTCCTAGTGTTCTTTCCTCCTTCTAGATCAGCAAGTGAGTAATTTCCATCTTCACATAATTGATTTTTCCTGACAGAATAAGACTCAAACAAAGAAAATTCAGTTTGATCTGAATGTTACTAACCAGTTCTATCACATAAGTCATAGCTTCTTAAGTTGTCGGTCACATAACTTAATGTGGGAGTTACAAAGCAAAGGGTCTTAACGGTAAAAGGCATTTGAACATGCAACGGCCAAAAATTAATTCAGAATAAAATGAATAATGAATATGAGGTGTTATCATCTTGTAATGTACAACTTCACTGCAGCCTTGGTTCTGAACACACAGCATGATGACTTTGCATAGTACAGGCCATCACATTCACCACACAGCATTAAGAAAGGAACACTTGCCTGAAAATACCTCAGCTCAGATTTGAGACTTGGAAGGGGAGAGGCAGGAGTGAGACAAGGTCTAACTATGTAGCTTGATTGACCTGGAACTCATTATATAGACCAGGCTGGCCTCAAACTCAAAGAGATCCACCTACCTCTCCTCTAGAGTGCTGGAATTTCAGGTGTGAGCCTTATTTTTTTGAGACAGGGTCTGTCACTGAACCTGGAGCTCGCCAATTCTGCTGAGCTAGGTAGCAAGCCAATCCCAGGTATCCTATTGTTACTGCCTCCCCTCAAAGCTTTTTTTTTCTTTTTGAGACACGGTTTCTCTGTACCTTTTGAAGGCTGTCCTGGAACTCGCTCTGTAAACCAGGCTGGCCTTGAACTCACAGGCATCCACCTGTCTCTGGTGTACCTTTTGAAGGCTGTCCTGGAACTCGCTCTGTAAACCAGGCTGGCTTGAACTCACAGGCATCCACCTGTCTCTAGCTCTGTTGGGATTAAAGGCATGCACCACCACCACCCAGTTTTTTTTCAAGGTAGGGGTTTGGTCTCCCCGAACCTGTAATCACAGATGTGAAATAGAATGTCTGGCTTTCTATATCAGGTATGCATCGCCAAACTCAGTTTGTGTGATGCTGGGGATAGAACCCAGGATTTTATGCATGCTAGCCTAGCTCTCCACCAATGGGGCCCCAGCCCAGTCTCTTTTATTTTCTTTCTTGCTTTCTTGATATTTTATTTTGTGAGTATGAATGTTTTGCCTGAATGTCTGTACCCAATGTGTGTGCTTGATGTCCACAGAGGACAGAAGAGGGTGTTGGCTCACCTGGAACTGAAGTTATAGATGATCATGAGTCACCATGTAGGTGGTGGGAATTGAACCCAGGTTATATATACCTATGGTTACATAAAACATATCAAGCAAAAAGAGGTCACAAGTTGAAAAGATTTAAGAAGCCCTGTTCTAAGTGACTAGACAACTCTAACAATGGCCTGAACTCTTACTAAATTATTTGTATCTATTAGTAACATTTGCCACACTGTGCTGCAACTATCTGTTTAACTGTGACCTCCACAAACTTCAGTTAGCATGTCCCCAGCAGCAACCAAAAATCTAGGTTCTTGTTAAGATGGTCAGTAAAAAATATTAAAAGAATACCTTAGCATTAATTCTAGGTGGACCCAAACAAGATAACTAGAAGAAAAAAGAAGAACAAGGCCAAGTTCTTGAACTTTTAGTCTCAGAATCTCTGTACACAGTTAAACTTTTTAATCCCAAAGAACTATTTGATATTTGCCACATTAGAAATTGTAACAGAGGGCCAGCAAGATAGTTCAGAAGGCAAAACTGCCTGTTGTAATAAGCCCAATTCCAAGATCCCACAGTGGACAGAGAAAACTAACTTCTGAAAGTTTCACCTCTGTCTGATCTCTACATGAGCCATGGCATGTACAAGCCTGAACATATGATTGCATGTGCATAAGTGAGCACTTGCACACCACACACACACACACACACACACACACACACACACACACACCATACATCAATGATAATAGTAAATAATATATATTTTTCTTTCAATTTTTTTTAAAGAAGTCAGATGTGGTGGCAATTCTAACACTTGGGAGATGCAGTTAGGAGTAGTAAGAGTCTAAAAGCAATCTCAGCTTTATGAAAACTAATTGTGTTTTCTGGACTGGAGAATGCAGATCAGTTGGTAGAGTGCAGAGCCTGTAATCTTAGCACTTGGGAGGTAGAAGCAGGAAGATCAGAAGTTCAAGGTCATCTTTAGCTACATATTATATTTGAGGCCAGCCTGGATACATGAGGCTATTTAAAAAAATATTTTCTGAAAAAATTCATGATAACAGAAGATCATTTCATATTTTTGATAATTTTTAACACTTAGCTTAATAGAACACAACTATAAGTTTTATCTACTTTTACATTTACCTTGTTGTAATGCAGTTTTCACTGAGGATCAAAACACAGACATGTAGCTGGAAAGGGAGAGTATTTTAATAGCTTTTCCAGATAAAAACTATGGCTTATTCTCACCCAAACTTGATACGTGGTCAAGTTTAAAGACTAGGTGCAATATGAAATCTTAAACTACACAGATGAACATATTGTACTCTGTAACATTCATATTCTTTGGTCTATCTTGTACTTTGAATGAATCTTTCATACATGCATGGTTTTGTAATATGATGCACAGCTCATTTGGAAACTCTTGATTCTAAGTTATGCAGAACATCCAAATGTTGACATATTCTATTTAGACAAAATCAAAATAATCATTATTGTCACCACTGACTTTATCAAAAAAGCTTTTAATTCATGGAAGCTGTCAAACCTACAGCAATTAATACAAACTTTCCAAAACTTAATTTTCACTTAAACATCGGGATTTTACCATTGGCAGCAAATATTATCAGTTATTTTCCTTCAAGTAAAACATTCATTTCATTCACTTTCAAGAAAATGTCAAGTTGGGTACTAATAGTTTTAGACTATAATCACAGAACTCCAGCAAAATGCTCAGTTCCAGTTTCAGGTCAGTCTGAAATATAGGATAAGACCTTGTCTTAAAAGGGTGGAGAGATGAAGGTTCAGCAGTTAAGAGCACTGGTTGTTCTTTCAGAGGACTGGGATTTGATGTGCAGCAGCCACATGGCTAACAACCCATCTGAAACTCCGGTTCAAGGAGATTGGATGCCCTTTTCTGGTGCTTTTCCCTAAGATAACCACCAACCTTCCTCTGAAGCAGAGTTTCATATGTATATCCTATTTCATGACACAGAATACTGAGCAGCATGTACTCAAGAGACACAATTTAATAAAAAGAATGATTTTTCACTTATCATACTGGAATACACATACAGAGAGAGAGAGGGAGGGAGGGAGGGAGGGGGAGGGAGAGAAAGGGAGAGAGGGAGGAAGGGAGAGAGAGAGTTTTCATTGCTATTTTCAAGGCACACATCTCCTAAAATCCTTATAATCTTCAAATGATAAGGGTACCTTTGTATGCTAATGGCATATACTAATGCAACCTCTAAGCAGCTTTAGGATGGGAGCTAGCCATAGAAAAGGCAAAGGCAAGGTTAAA